ACATCACCCAGTTGTTGGGGTAAAGTACCATATTCTCCTCCAGCTCTGGCCGGATCCCATGATGAATATATTCCAATTCAGATGGATGCAGTGAGTGGTATTCATTTCCAGAGGAAGAGACTTTGATCCTGACAAGCTTATTGGATCCCTGAAGAAATCCCCAAGAAATTTTTTTTTAATAGGAAAGAATCCAGAAAGTACTTCCCTGGATCCAGAACTTCCTGTAGGTAGAGAAAGGGAGGATGGAAGACCTCTACTAGCTTCCTTTAGCCATCTAGCTGCAGCTGCTCATCCCATCAGGGAGGGTAGCCCTGAGGCCAGGAGCTCAGGTTTTGGATGTCTACATTATCATGGTCCTCAACCTCATCCAATCACAAGATGTTAGTGCTGGAATACCTCTTTGAGATCCTCCATCCTAACCATTGTCATTTTATAGACAAAGAAGCTGGATTCCGATGAGATAAAGGGATTAATGCAGATCACATAGTGATTCCATGGAATTGCTAGGATTAGAACCCAGGACACTTGACACCTATTTCATGGCTCTTTCCTCAGTGCTGTTCCACCTGCATCATCATCATCATCATCAGCATCATCACTACTACCACTGCCTCAAAGAACTATAGAAACACCATCCATAAATGCTGCCACTATTTAAGAGCTCATGATAAGGATCTATCTTCTCAAAGCATTGTGTTGGGGACCACACAGACTGAGTTTGTATAGGCCCTTCCCTCAGAGACTTTACAATTAGTTGTAAGGTCTGTTAGCACAGTCCATACTTTAGGCATTAAGGCAACAGTTCTTAACCTTTATTGTTATCATGGATCCGTTTGGGAGTCTGGTGAAGCTTATGGACCCTTTCCCAGAATAATATTTTTTAAATGCACAAAATAAAATACATAGGATTACAAAGGAAACCAGTTATGTTGAAATACAGATTTAATTTCTTCTCATTTAATTTCACAGAACTTCTGAAATCTGTCAACAGGCTCCTTGGTGGGCTGGGGCAGGAGAGGGGAGAATTAATCCAAGGACCCCAGATTAAGAACCCTTGCATTAAGGTTTTAAAATAATTCCAAAGATTTTACCTATCTCATCACTATTTGGCATTCACAATAACTCTAGGAGAGAAGTACTAGAGGTGTCATCATCCCTGTTCAACAGAAGAGGAAACTGAGCCTTGGAGAGGTTCAGTGAGTTCAGCCAAGTGCAGAAGCACTAAAGATTCCCCTCTCTATCTCTGATAGGTTTTCTGTGCCCATCTGTGAATCTGGGTTCCAGCCCTTGAACTATTACTTATTACCTGGATGACCTTGGCTTAGTGATTTCATCTCTCTGGGCCCCTTTGGCCTTCAGTCCAGAGAGCTTGCTGTTATGACACATTGACACTTAGACAAACAGATGCACAATGTACAATGGATAAACTCAAGATAAATAAAGGTCATCCAAAAGTGACAAATAGAGAGGATTTAGCATTTTCGCTTTATATATAATGATGGCTAATTAATGTGCATGTATGAGGCAAATTTGAGTTTTACTACTAGTAAATGGGGTGAGACTGAGGTAATTAGTCTGATGAAGAAGAAAATAAACATTTATTAAGCACTTACTACATTCCAGGAACTGTGTTAAAGACTGAGGATACAAATAAAAGCAAAAAGACCAGCCCTGCCCTCAGGAGCTTACATTCTGATGGAGGAAGACTGTATAGGAAAGGGAGCTGAAAAGCTAGAAGTGAAAGTGGTGGGTGAGGGTGGGTGGGATGAAGGTTCCTGGGCACTGGGAACATGGTTTTAAAGTCTGGAAGCCAAGAACAAGGCTGGCCTCGGTATGAAGGCTGGCCTGGGCACCTCCACAAAATGGAGGCTATAGGAGAAACTCACCAGTAGCTGAAAGGGGTGGGCCTTACCCTGCCACATTGCAGGTTGAGAAGTCAGGAGGATAATTGGATGTTTCAGGATATCCCAGAGTTTCAGGAAGTTCTAGGATGAGACAATGGTGGAGACACAAGCCAATACCAGGGTTGGGAGGAGACAAGCTTCTGGGAAAAAACAAAACAAATTGCCAGAGCTGCTTGATTCTAAAGGGGAAATGCCTGGTACTATAGGGGTGCGGTGCACTTTTTGGAAAGAGCTTCCCATCATTACTTTCTGGCTCCCCTTTCTATCTCTGACAGTTTCTCTAAATCTGTTAATGTATCTGTGTTTAATTCCTATTCTGTCTCTTAGCATCTGGGTGCCCAATACCTCTGACTCACCTTCCCAGGATTTTCTTCACCGTACCATCACCTCCCTGATGTCATCCTCTTCAACAACAAAGGACAAGCAGCAACAAGAACATCAACAGCTCCCCCTTTCAGGGTCCTTTTATGGGCAGTTTCCCCCCATTAGAATATAGGCTCCTTGAGGGCAGAGGCTTTCTTTCTCTCAGCTTCTCTTGGTATTCTCAGGCTTAGCACAGTGCCTTGTGCATAGCCAGCACTTAATAAATGCTTACTGACTGACTGACCTTAGATAAGTGACTTCACCTTTCTGGTCCTCCGTTTCCTAATCTGTAAAATGAGGAAATTAGTCTAGATGACCTCTAAATTTTAGTTCTAAGTCCTCAGTCCTATAAATTGGCTCACCTGTGAAAGGTTATACCTTGCTGAGATTAGGTATACCTCCCAACTTGCACTGAGAATAGGGTGGGGTTCAGTGAAGAATCTGAGACAGAAGGAAGGGGAAGGAGCCAGTCCCTGGAGGATTGGCTCCAAGAACTCCCCAACCTTGCCTGAGTAGAGCTGGTGTAAGCCCAGCTGAGATTCTGCCCATTAATTTCACCCTCTTCATCTGCTTCTGCCTCTTTGTGAAATAGAGGGTGAAGTGGTTGGGGAGAGGATTAGGGGAAAGAGAGGGGAAGAAAGGGAGAGAGAGAGATTGATTTCTGGGCAGAATTTATACTTTTTTGGCTTTTTCAAAGGTAAATGAATAGATGGTTGTTGTTTTCTGTCTGCCGCTAAGAGTGTATGTGCACGCGTGTTATGTATAGAACCTTTTAAAGGCTTCTGGAAGCAATCCCTAATATTTTCTATAGGTGCAGACAGATAATTGAATACTTTCAAAGACCACTGTGAGGCAGGGAAAGTTCAATTTTTGCAGTGTGCTGCTCTCTGCATTGACTGAGCTGGGTGTTGCGTGTTTTCCTTGAGAACTTGAATTTCTTCCTTGCTTTTCTCCATCTTCTCTCTAGTTTCTGCCTCCCCCAAATGTTCCTCCCTTCCATGAAGCATTTAGGAGGATAAAAAACAACATAAACCATAGAATCACCCTAGAGTCTCACAAAATCAACACATGAGATTTTACAAATAGCTCCTTCCCCAGTCTTAAATGAAAGGAGTCCCCGCTCATCTCAAGGGATTGATTGACTGACTGAATTTTTTTAAAAAAGCATTTATTAAGTACTTTCTGTGGGCAGCTAGGTGGCACAGTAGATAAGAATGCAGGGCCTGGAGTGAGGAAGACTAATCTCACTGAGTTCAAGTCCAGTCTCAGATATTTACTAGCTGTGTGACCCTGGGCAAATCACTTAATCCTGATTGCCTCAGTTTCCTCATTTGTAAAATAAGCTGGAGAAGGAAATAGCAAACCATTCCAATATCTTTGCCCAGAAAAGCCCACATAGGGTCACAAAGAGTCAGACACAACTAAAAACAACTGAACACCAACAGAAGTATTTTCTATATGCCAGGCAGCTATGCTAAGTGCTAAGAAAACAAACACTAACAAGCAAAGCAATCCCTCCCCTCAGGGGGCTTATATTCTAAAGGCAAAGACAACACATATAGAGAAGTAGTGGCCAAGCAGGAGTGATTAGGACAGGAACATCGACAGAATGATGGTTGGAGTACTAGAGCATTGGATTGACATAGCTTCTGGGGAGTGGTAATGTTGTTTTGATCATTACTGAAATCATAGGCAAAGCAGTAAATATCTCAGAAACTCAGAGTCCCAAGATTTGGGAATGAGATGGGAAGCATTCTTATCACTTATACAGACAGAATAAAATAATTTCTCTCTGGCTTCTAGTCCATGTGGCGTGGTACTAGTGTGTTCTCAGGTGTGATTCTGCGTGTGCAAGTAGATGCTTTTGTCTGGGGACAACAGTATATACATGTGTACTCTGTGTGTTGGGGGGGGGGGTCTGTGGGGAGGGTGGCTTGCTTTGTCTATCTTTGGCCAGAGACAGGAACATGCCTTCCTCATTTTTCAGATGATGAAATTGAGGTAAAATAACTTACCCAGGGAGTAAGCATCAGAGGCGATATTCAAATCCCAGTGCTTTGACTCCAAAGCTAGTTCTTGTTCCACCATACCACACTACCTTCCAGAGCTTCCTAGTGGTGTGACTTTGGGCAGCTTGGGTCTTAGTTTCCTCATCTGCAAATTCACAGGATTAGACTTAGGTGACCAGTGAGGTTCCTCCCCACTCTAGATCAATGGTCCTAAAATGCCATCCACTAACAAATCAATAAGCATTTATTAAATGCCCACTGTGTGCTAGGCACTCTCCTAGACCCTGGGGATGCCAAGAAAAACACACACACACACACACACACACACACACACACACACATACACAATATCATCCCTGCACTATTCTATAGAGGAAACAGTATGCACACATACAAACATAAAGTAAATACAAGGAAATTTGGGGTGGAGGGAGCATTATCAGCTGGGGGAATTAGAAAAGGCTTTATGCAGGAGATAGGTCTTGTGCTGAGCTTTGAAGAAGAGGGAAGATTCTAAAAGCCAGAGGGGCAGAGAAGGTTCATTTCAGGAATGGAGGAGAGTCTATGTAGAGTCAGGGATGTGAGGAAGAGCAAGTCATTTAGTTTGACTGAAATGTGTGTGGAGCAGAATAAGTCTGGAAGGTAGCTTGGTCCCACTTTGTGAAGGGCTTTAAATATCAAACAGAAGAATCTGTTGTGCTTTTTTTTTATCCTAGAGGCAAGAGGGAATCACTGAACTTCTTAAGAAGAGGAATGACATGGTCAAACCTGTGCTTTATGAACATCAATTTGGCAGCCTGTGGATGATGGATTGGAGACAGGAGATACTTGCAGCAGGGACTCTGAATACGCTAATGTGCATCCTCTTTCACCACTGGCCCAGGTCAACAAAGAGGATCGTGTGTTTGAGTGTGTCTAGTGGAGGAGAGGAGAGAACAGAACACAGAATGGGTTACCTGTTATATCTCTGTAGCATTTCCCTTGGCCCCTATTGCTTAAACATAGTAGGCATTCGACAAATGTTGTTGAATGAATGAATGAATGAATGAATGGACCTGGTAATTCACCTTCTGTCTGCCTGCAGCCTGTTCTTGCCTGCGAAGCATCTTGAACGTTGTTGTCAGCCCTGAAGAACACCACACCAAAGTAAAATGCATTGTATTTAAATATTCCCTAAGTCATTTTTGTGTATTTAAGTCTTAATTCATCTCCTCTAAATCTTTCCAACTACGTTAATGTGACGCCTTTGACAGAAAGATGAATAACATTATTAAAGAAGAGCGTGACCAAATTTCACTCATAAAAATCTTTCCTTCTCCATCTCTGGTGTCCTCTGGCTTTCCCCAGCAAAGTGGGAGAGGAGAGTGAAAGGATAATCACAAAAGCTGTGGCTCTTAGGAGGCTTCACATAAGCCCCCTGGCCACCTGGGAGTATTATCACACCCATGTTAGGAGGGGTGGGAAATGGAGACCCAGAGATCAAGTTGAACACAGCCAGTGAGTGTTAGAGCAAGGATTCAAGCCCAGCTCTTCAGGGTTCCAGGAAAGCACCACACCGAAATACTCCAACCCCATTCCTGCTCCTTTTTGCCTCATGGAACAGTTTAGGCTGAACTTGAAGACTGGAATAGTAAGTGCATTGTGTTTAGATTTGGAAAGGAGATTTTTCAGAACTGGAAAAATACCTTAGAGATAGATTAGTTTAACCCTTCATTTTACTGATGAGGATATTAAGGCCCAGAGAGTTAGTGATTTTCCCAAAGTCACACAAAAGTTCATTGCAGAGCTATCACTAGAATCCAAGTCTTTTGACCCCCCCCAGCCCCCCAGTTTTTTTCTCTTTTTTCTATTGCATCATGATTTCTAACACTGAGATTGGGTTTAGAAAGGAAGAAGGATAAACCAGAATGCTCTCCCTCCTCTCTCCACTTGGTATCCCTCCCTCCCTTTAAGATTCATCTCAAGTTCAGTGTCCTATAGGAGATCCTTCCTAATTCCCCTCTGCCACCTTCCCACCAGTTGTTAGTTTCTCTCTCTCTCTCTCTCTCTCTCTCTCTCTCTCTCTCTCTCTCTCTCTCTCTCTCTCTCTCTCTCTCTCTCTCTCTCTCTCTCTCTCTCTCTCTCTCTTTCTCTCTCTCCTCACTCCAGAATTCCAGCCATGTTAGCAGCTTAGTTGGCTCAGTACTACTCTCCCTAGGGTTATACTGGTAGCTCTGTGGGGTTGACATTTTTATCACTGTCACTCAGAAGCCTATAGCAGTTGTCCCCATCCCCCCAACTACCACCCCGCCTTATCAGTTGACCAGTAGAATTCTATTAGTTTTCAGAAAAGCTTTTTACAGAGAGACAGCTAGGCAGAGCAATGGATGGACTGCCAGGTCTAGAGTCAGGAAAACTCATCTTCCTGAGTTCAAATCTGGCCTCAGATACTTACTAGTGGAATAAGTCAAAGTCACTTAACCTTGTTTGCCTCAATTTCCTCATCTGTAAAATGAGCTGGAGAAGAAAATAGCAAACCACTCCAGTATCTTTGCCAAGAAAACCCCAAACGGGGTCATGAAGAGTTGTATGTGATTAAAATAACTGAACAACATTTACTGAGAAGGAATGACAACAGCAATAGTTACAATAGTAATTCCATCTATACTGGGCACAGTCACCCCTTACACAAAGTCCCTGTGGACAGGGAGCTCCAATTAAACCATGGTGGCACTGATGCGCACGTGTAGATAACATATACAGCTAATAGCCACCTTCTAACTCTTGGCCCCAGAAATCTTTTTCCTTTGGGGAGTTTTCATAAGGTTCTCTTTAGGCATATTTCTCTTCTGGGATTAGTGGGTTAGTGCCATAGTACAGAATGCTGCCTTTCCTGGTTTCAGTTCCACAGAATAAGAGGCCCCTCCCAGAATAATCTCATCAATTTTAAACTCACCGCCATGCTGCTAACTCAGGCCTTGACCGATCCCACCTCCTTTGCCCTCCTCTTCCTTCTGATTGCAGGGCTGAAGGATGGAGTGCCAAACTCTGCCCAATGTCTTCCTTTGTGGAAGGCAGAAACTAGACTCTCAGCTCACTCCCCTTTCCATCTGCTGCTCTCCCTGGCATCAACTCCAAGGAATAAGATGCTCCCACAATAGGTGGGGAGCACTCCCTGATGTCCCAGCCCCTCCTGTCTTCTTTTGTGTGTTGTCTCCCCTTACATTATAAGCTCCTTGAGGCCAGGGACTGCTTTTCTTTTTATTAATTGTATCCCTGGCATTGAGCACAGTGCCTGGCACATAGTAGGCACTTAATAAATGTTTTTTGGAATGGATTGGGTAACAATCAGTGAAGCTGCTGTATTTCTTGGCCAGGGGGAGCATGTCTCCAACTCTATCTTTAGGTACTTCCTCTGGAGTCAACTACTCCCAGCTCTGATGAACTCTGCTGCTGGCTGATTGTGAGGCACCCCCCTCTTGGAATACTCATTCACCTGAAATTATGATATAATAAACACAAGAGATACTATGTGTTTAAGGATGCAGGGTGGCTGTGTGGGAGGTAGGGTAGCCTCTCTTTTCCCCATCTGGCAGCTCATACCTATACTGCCTCACTCAAAGCCAAGAAGGAAAACAGTGGGAAGCAATAGGAAGGGGGAAATTACTCCTTTTTGTGCACACTCATTTCTGGCTCATCAACTCATTAGTCTTCTGGCTCTTCAACCAAACAGAAGGCCCTTCATCACCACATGGTACCAGCCCCTCAGTCACTTATGTCTGAAAATAGGCTCACCAACTGTACATGTGTTGGATTGGAACGAGATAGGAAATATCTGGGAATTCTCTCTCTGTGTAACCCACCAGGAAGTTCAGCTCTGAGTATAAAAGAATGGGCCCTCATTGTCCATTTCCCCATTACATATATTCTTTCTTTCTTTATTTGTTTAATGTTCCCCCTCAGAAGAATGTAAGCTTTTTGAAGGTAGAGCCCATTTATTTTTGTTTTTGTAACTTCAATACCCAGCATTGTACCTGGCATATTACAGTGATTTAATACACAATTTACTAATTGAATAGGATTGAGGTAATCCTGCTTTGAAATGGGTCATCCCCCATAGGTGATGCAAGAGGATCAAGCGTAAAAGATGGTGTTGTCTCTTTATGGAACCACACGAGGCTAAATTTCAAGAGTAGCTCAGGCCTTTTCCATAAACCTCTCCACTGGGGATTCCTCCAAACTGGCACATATCAAAATGTTGGCATAGGCCCAACCAGAAAGAGCCCTGGCAGCTCCCCTGGAGTTACTTCTGCCCAGGCCCTGCCTGGCCTTACGATAGATTTATACCCTTCTTTGCCAGGCCGCCCTGATGGATTGCCTCCTCCATGCCAGCGGAGTCATCGGCATTCATCATGCTGACTTTTAAACCTTTTCTCTTAAATCATCACTTGCATTGGGAACCATTTCTTCTGTACAACCAAAGCTTGGGTCTGAAACACTAAAGAGGGCTCCAGTCACAGAGTCTATAATGCAAGGAAGGCTCATTTAGACTGACTCCCAAAGGGCCCTGACTCTCAAGCAGGAGGGGAGAAGAGAGGGAGGAACATCTTAGCAGCTTTTATTTTTAGATTAAGTACTAGAACCTAGGGGGGACGACTTTGGGGAGAAATTAATTGCCTAGAGGACTCCCTCATGTTATGAGTAGGTGAGCAAGGTAGACCTTGTATTTGGTATGATTTCAGGGATCAGGAAAGGCCTCCCCAAGTCCTCTCCCCCACTTTCATACATCCTCATCTTCTTACTGATGGCCATGATGTACCTGTTAAATCTTCCAAATGGAAGCTTCCACCAATGTAGTGTGGATTTCATTCATTCATTCATTCATCAAACATCTATTAAACACCTACTTCATGCAAAGACATAGGCCAAGGCCTAGAAGGAGAGAAAAAAGTTTGCAAGACAGTGCCTGCCTTTATAGAGTTTCTAATGTAGGAGGGGATTAAGATAAAAACACAAATAATTTTAAAGTATTGCCTAAGTGAATTCCAGAAGTATAAATCAAAGTGCTGGATATTATCCTTGGAATGCTCATTAGTGACTTGAGCAACAGTTCCCAATCTTTTTGGTCTCAGGACTCATTTCCATTCTTAAAAATGATTGAGGACTCTCCCTGCCAAGTGCTTTTGTTTATGTGAATTATATTTATTGATATTTACCATATTAGAAATTTAAAAATCTCATTATTATTTTAAAAATAGTTTTGACTTTGCAGCCCAACTGGAAGGGTATCACAGACCCTCTTGAAGTTTCCAGATCACATTGTGATAGCCATTGGACTAGAGGAACATGGAGAAGAAATTTGGAACTGGAAAGGACCTTTAAAATCCCCTGCTCCAACTCTGTCATTTTATAGAGGAGCAAATGAAGTCTCAGAGAAGTTAAATGATTTGCCAAAGTTTTCATAGATTGTAAGTAGAAGAGGCAAGAATTTATTCCTGGTTTGTTGGCTCCGAAACCTGTGCTGTTTTAATCAAATTTTGCTACCTCATGGAAGAGGTAGTCTTTGAATTATATTTTAAGAGACAGGTAAGAATTCAGGAAGAAGGAGGAGGAAGAGGAGGAGGAGGAGAAGGAGAAGAAGAAGGAGGAGGAGGAGGAGAAGGAAAAGGAGGAGGATGAGGAGGAGGAGGAGGAGGAGGACATTATAGGCATGGGGATAATGAAAGGTGAAGAAATAAGAAAATAATAGGTATGTGTGGGAAACAGAAGGGGACCATACAAGTCTAATTTGTCTAGAGGCAACTAGGTGGCTAGTGGATAGAATGCTAGGTTTGGGGCCAGGGTCTGAATTCAAAACCTGCCTCAGGCCCTTACTACCTATGTGGCCCTGGGAAAGTCACTTAATCTCTCCCACCTTCAGTTTCCTCATCTGTAAAATGGGGATCATCCTAACACCGACCTCAGAGGAAAGATCAAATAAGGTAACATATATGAAGTGGTTTGACCACTTTCAATGATCATTTTTCTCCATTAGATTCTGAGTTCCTTGAGGGCTGGAAGTGGTTTTTGCCTCAATTTGTATCTCCAGGGCTTAATACAGTGCCTGGTACATAGTTGACTGAAGCATAGAGCTTATGGGATCCCGTGCTGAGATGATGCTTCTACAGAAAGATACTAGGAGGAAAGAGAATGTGAGGATTGGGAATCCTGTGGAGCAATGGGGAGGAGGGTGAACAAGCATGCAGTGGGAGAGGCTGAGAACTTGAGATGCAAATGTTACTGCCTATACAATTTTGCAGCTGGCCAGCTGGCTGCCTGCTCATCAGAGAGCTTGCAGAGTTCTTCCCAGGTATGTGAAACAGTCTGAGACGGGGCTCAAGGCTCAGAGGCTGAGAGTAAAACAGAAGATTTTTAGTCCAAGGATTCCTACAAATCATGCCTGTGTTTCTCAATGGCTACTGGATCCCTTTGACTCAGAGACTACTCAGCATCCTCCGCAAACCCAATATAGATCTTCCCATGAGAAATTCCCAAAAAAAGAGAATCAAAAGGAGGTAGCACATATTTATTTCTTTTTGGCTTGCTGCCTGATTTCTGCTGAGTTCAGAGAAATTCTGACCAATGGTAACCACCCATGGGAGCTATGCATTCCCCTGGTCATCAAGAATTGTATCCTCTGCTAGGGCATGAGTAAAGCAAATAATAGACTTGAAGGATTGTAGAAGATTGCAGGAAATCATCTAATCCTCCCTCATGCCATTGGGCAATGTGTCCAATTGCCCAGCCCAGGCACATGGAAGGCTCCCTCCTGTTTTTGATGTTTGTCCAGGGAGAGAGATTTTACAGCCTCCCTGGGAAGCTTGGTCTGGTGATTCTATGTCTTAACACCTGTAAAGTTCTTTCTTGCAATCCCAGTCAGCAAGCCCTCTTCATTTGTCCTGAGTAGATAGAGAGGCTGGATAAAAGCTGCACATACCAGCCTCCTTCAGAACACACAGACCAATGGTCTTCCCTTTTCTATTCTCTCTCTCCCTCTCTCTTTCGCTCTCTTGCTCTCTCTTTCTCGCTCTCTCTCTTCCTCTCTTTCTCTCTCTTCTCTCTCTCATCTCTCTCATTTTCTCTCTCCTCTCTTTCATTCTCTCTCTCTGCCTGTTTCTTTTTCTTCCTCTTTCTCTCACTATCTTTCCCCATCTGTCTGTCTGTTCCTTGTCCTTTCTTCCTGTGCCTATCCATCTTTCTGTCTCTGTCTGTCTCTTTCTCCTCTTCCTTCCCCCCACCCCTGCCTTTCTGTATGTGTGTGTCTCTCTAGCTCTGTATCTATGTGTGTGTATTGGATTGCTCTGGTATCATATATCCGGCTCTTTCTTTTTCTTCTTCCTCTCATTTCTCTTTCTAATTTACTTTTTCTCTGCTCTCTGTGTGTCTGTTTCTTTTCCTCAGTTTCTTTTTTTTTCTTCCAGCACAGCTTAACATTTCAGGATCTATTAGCACGTGTAAAGGGCTTTCATTGCACCAGATCACCTTGGGTCTTCTATCTTAGCCTCTCTTGTCTTTCCCACTCACTGTCCCTCCCCCCTTATTTCTTCTTCCCCTTTCAGAGAACATCAGTTTCAAATCAATTCCTACTGTTTTCCACTTTGGTACAGATACTTCTTCTGCGGGTGGGATAATTTTACATTGCACAATTGTTGAGGTACCACCTTCCTCCCAGTCACCTAGGCTCACAACTCCTCATTCTTGACTCCTAACCCTTCCCCCCTCTTCCATTTCCAATCCATTGCCAAGGTCTATCAATTTTACCTTCAAAGCATTTTTCACATATGTTCCTTTCTCTCCTCTGACACTGTCACTACCCTGGTTCAGATCCCCATCATCTCACATCTGGACTATTGCAATAGCCTACTGGTGGGTCTACCTGCCTCAACTCTCTCCCCCTAATTCAATAAACTCCAGTGACTCCTTATCACCTCCAAGATCAAATATAAATTTCTCTGTTTGTCATTTATAACCTGCCTCCCCAACATTTCTAGTCTTATTATACCTTACTCTTCACTCCCTTACCCCCACATGCTCAGTGGTTCAGGGACACTGGCTTCCTTGTTGTTCCTTGAACAAGACACTCTGGTTCTGGGCATCTTCACTGATTGTCC